TACATCATGTACTCATCATCGGCTCATCATCATTATCATCATTGTTGCTGTTGCTATCATCATCCTCATCATCATTACCGTCATTAAGCCTTACATCACCCAGGCTAATTAACTGGTCAATATGGCCATTTTAAGATGATAAAGACACACACACACAAATTCGTCAGTGAAACATAAAAGATATTTTGAAAATCTTTCAGTGCTTTTTTTCATTTCAACAATGAAAGTCAATGGTACCAACACTTCTTTTGTGATGCACAGAAGCAAGCAATGCATACAGGTTTGGAATGACATGAGGGTGAGTTAATGATGACAAAATTTTCATTTTAATTTCATTAAATTTAGTTATTACTCAGTTTTATGTATATATCAGCATTCAATCAAATACTTTCATTCTGTTCTCCAGATATCATATTGCAAGTTGAGCACAAACTCACATTATAATCATCTATTTTATCATATCATCATGATCTAGTCACATATCTCAGCTTCCCTGCAAATAAATATTTTACTTTATTACACTTTAACTGATTTCTGTAATTATATAATATATACTGTAAGATACTGTAAAATATGTACAGTATATTACAGTATATTAGGATTAAGGGGAAATATATGGTCACTACTGTAAATTTTCTCTACTGTAAATCAATTTACAGTAGTGAACTTGCCTGCGAAAAACTGACCAATCGCAAGAGAGATTTCTTTTCATGTTTTTTTTTTAACTCTGAGGTGGAAGTGGCGGTTAACGGACAAAAATAATGAAATAATGTACCAGTAACTCACCAAAAAGGTTTTGTATATTATTTGTATTTTATGTAAAACAAACATATTTTCAAATGTTTCACTTGTAATGTTAACAGCATAATAATCATGTCATTTTTCATGCCGGAAAAGTTTAGATGCCTTTTTTCAGATCGTCGTCATAATGGTGAAAACATTAACTGGTGAGGAATTTAAGTTCACCTATATTAACCAAAATAAACTTTACTTAAAGTGTCCCTATTATGGATTTTTGAAAATGACCTTTCATGCAGTGTGTAATGTAGCAGTATGTGAATGTAAACGGTCTGCAAAGTTGTAAAGCTGAAAGTGCATCATAAATAAAGTTACTGTCTCTCAAAAGAAAGAGTAGACTCTGAACCGCTGACACGAGTAGTTCCATTTCCATGAAGTTCATACGTCACAAGTTAACACATTTGCATAATGCCTGCCTATGTTCTGTGAAAACTTGAATCCCCCTCCTCAAACGCTGTAGCTCTTTCGTGTGGATAACAATGTCAAGAAGACGCTGTGCTTTGTGCTGTGACAGTAAATTCGGTTTATTTTCACTTCTAAAGGATGAGGCTGTGGAGGATCAGTGGTTAAAATTCATCTTTATTACGATACCAGCAGTATAATCACAAACATTTGCTGTGTTCCCGTCATTTCACTGACGGTCTGCTTCTCTAATCTCCTCAAGTTCAACGCGGAATTCGTAAACATCTTTGTAAGATGGTGCCCAGTTTGTTTGGACCAGCTTGCTCCTCCAAATCATAACCTACTGTATAAACATGATTAATAATTGTTGATTTATTGTTCTGTTGATTGTGCAAAATATGTAGTTTTGTGTGTTGTGTTGTACACTCAGTGCAGCTGTAGGTCTCCGGCTAACTCACGTTACAGTTCTGCTAATCACTATGGGCCCGCTATTGTCTAGAAATGTGTCAATTAATATAAAATGTCTGTCGTTCTTATTACTTGAAGTCATGATAAAGGATGGAGCAGTAAGTTGGTTAACAAACTGCAGTGATTTATCAGTACTCCAAATCTGTGTTTGGCTAAAGCATATAACTAGGGATGCACCGATATGAAAATTTTGGCCGATACCGATAACCGATTATTCTTTATTTTTGAAAGCCGATAACCGATATGTTGGCCGATAAATCTATATCCAAATTGTTATATACTTTTTGAGAGCCTGATTATAACATTATTGTTTAGGTCTTTACTACCAAGTTGTGGGTCCGATTCGCTAACATACGTGTAAAACAACTTTTTCTCCTGATTCTTTATTTTTTAGAACACAGTGGAGCACATTTCCGAAATGCGCTGTACGCAGTAGACCAATCACAACAGACTGGGTCATCTGACCAATCAGAGCAGAGTAGACTCATGAAAAGGAGGGGTTTGGAAAGATAAATCTTCGAATGAATCGCGTGAGAGTCACTGAGAAATAAGGTCAAATTAAATGCATATTATAAGAAAATGAAAGTGTTTTTTTACCTTGCATGCATGTAAACCTCTTGTTGGGGACACAAAAAACCAAATGATGAACCATAATAGGGGCACTTTATACCAACAAACATGTTCTGCTGCCTCTTTAACACAAGTTAGCTCATCAGGCTATAATGTGGAAATAGACAAACTAGGAATAAACTGACTTCAAAGCTGAAATATACAGCAAAAACACTACTAAATTTGCATCTATATTAAAATGGCCAATTTCAATAAGTTATGGCTGATGATACTAAAATGATATACTATTTAGAATAAATTATAAAATAAAACTAAATTCAATTCAATCATTTAAAATGCTACAATTTAATTTAGTCATCACAACACTACAAAATGCAGCATGAAATGCATATTAATTTTAAGATTTGCAAAAGATTAAATGTAAATGTGTATTATCAATGTTTTTAAACACTTAACTTAGCATGAGAAGACAGCAAAGATAATCTAAATGTAAAAACGGGAAATTATCACACAATTAAATATCCAATATCGCTCAACACATTAATAAATAAAAAAATAATAATGGTACTGACATATCATGCATGCCTAAAAAGCATAATAATGTGCAACAACTTTACTCTCCAACAACAGGGGTTTCCAATGCTATACCAAATGACAGAGAGTGACAGAGAGAAAGACAGCAAGAGCTAGGGAGAGAGAAACAGAGCACACATTCAGGCAGTGGTGAGATCTACAGTTCCACTGAGTGCACTGCAGACTCGAGGCAGAGCTGTTCTCTCAAATGTCTTGGAGGACAATAAGACTCAAATCACACAGCTCTACCTCCAGAGTCAGAGCTGTCTCAGCTAAAACAAAACACCACCTTCTACTAAAACTTTACAGATTTACTAACAGTAAATCACGGCCACTGATAGCACCACTTATTTGCACGCTCTACATGTATTGTTTTAGGGCCCGTTTCAATGAAGAAATTCTGCAAATCAGGTAACAGTGCAAATGTGCCCTCAAAATCTGCGCTGATGCATTTTACACAGCACAATTCACCATTTTGCACAAAAGTAAATCTGGCCTTCAAACTTGCCACCAAGTCGCCCTGAACATGCAAAATACATCCAAACACCATTCAGCCCCCATCCTGTGTGAACGCCCTGAACCCGAACTCACTTTCAATATACGTCAATCACAAACAAACCATCCCATCACTCCAGCAGCTTCAGTCAATCGGACTCTGTTCCTGGACTGTACAGCCTCAGAGTCTCCTGCAGTGCAGATGTGTGCGAGCTCTGTCAGTTTAAGCCAAAGATAAGGGAGGATTTACTGGCAGATAGAGAGTGATTGACGGAGCTCATGCAAGGTCAGCTCACCTAAATGAGGGCTTGCAGAGGAAATGTGGGTATTCTGTCCACCACATAAAAGCCTGTGTGTGAGTGTCTGTGTCTATCTGTGTCTATGCAAGCCAGTTAATTGTGTAGGTGGGATGTTCCTGCAATCTCTACATAAGCAATTATGCACACTTTTAACTATTATGTTCTCCACTGGTGATAAAAACTTTCTTTTCATGTAATATACAACAAAGGAATCAACATATGCAATTAAAAATTGTGGAAAACAAAGTAACTGCTATACTCGTAACTTTTTGAATGAGACATGTTTCACCATAATATCTGGGTTTCTTTTGAAAGCTCTACCTCTCCCACATAGTCGTCTGCACTGTGTATGACTACAGTATGTTTATGCTGCAAGTGAGTAGAGCAAATTATTGTGACCAAACTATCCCAACTTACCAATTATAATAAACAGAGCCGTTTACACCAGAGTTCCAGCAGGAAGTTGAATTAGAATTTGAAATGTTATGACAGAAAGACTGTACTGTAATTCAACACATGTAATCCATCCATCTAACTATGGATCTAACATCTATCTATCTTTTTATCTATCTGGCTGACTGGCCTATGCAAAATTTAGGTTTTTTGAAATTTCAAATGGCAATTCTGCATCCTGCCAAATTTAATTAAATTCACATTCAGGAACTGAATTTTCCATGACACACAACCCTAGCGTACACTGGAAATGGCATAATGTTAATACAGGAGTCTAGTCGTTGCACGCAAACTGTGTCAAGGAGACAAACACTCACTGAGAGCATCAGCTAGTTGACAGAGTGAAACAAAGCAAACAAAAAAACGTTACTATCATTTAAAAAATAATTACGAGATTTGCTACTTTTTTATATTAGTAGCACAATTACACTTTCCAAAGTAATAGTTCCCAACACTAATAAATTCATCATAATCTGAGCAAGGTGAAGAACAAGTTTGCAAAAAGTGAAAAAAGAAAGAGTTAAACTCATGAAGCCACAAAGTCTAGTGTTTACAAAGCCTCATGAGATTCCCCATATTGGGCTTGGCAAAGTATTCTTGAAAGACACCAAAGGCTATTGGCTTAGTCACAAAGGTCTCTTCTAATAAAGAGCATCCTTTGAAAACTCACAGGTGAATTGTAGCCAAGCAGGCAACTCTAAAATGACTGATATTCCTTACAGTCACCTGGCTTTGAAAGATGCACAAACAAAAACACAAAAACTCTGATCACCACCCTTGAGATTTAAGCCGAGCCTCATTGGCAAACTGGTCTGGAGAAACAAGCTCAGTCTGGAAAGCCTTAGGACTGTGTATAAACAGACTAAAAGGGGGGAAAAGTCTGATCTATTCTCACCCTCTCTCAAGTGAAGACAGCTGCAATTTGCACTTGAAATTAATTACCCAGCTGTGAGGACGTGATTGACGTGGCGGCAGGTTTCTGGTGACCGAGGCAGCGTGGAGAGGAGGCGTTCTCCAGAAACCAGGAGCAGCCAGCGAAGCGGTATGGACAGGAGGATAAGACCTGGCAATTTGCGTATCCTGGGACCTACAGGAAGAAGAGGATCATATCATCACCTGACTGCCAGAGAGAAGATGTGATAAGAGACTAAAGCAAACAGAAAATCAAACAGATGCTCATTGCTTCCCCTTGAAACCCTTGAATCTGGGCTGCATGCCAAGGCAAGAACCCACAAATGAAACTCAGCCTGGGATACCAAGCTCTCCGGCTTCTGAGCTTGACATGATGCTGCTGCCCAGGCCTCCTAGTTGTGCTAATCTGGCTAATGGCTAACCAGAGGAGGCTTCCTTATCAGGGGACAGCATGCTTTGTCCGCACATTCCCAACAGCCAGCCGAGCTCACACATGGCCGATGGCGGGAAAGCAAGGCAGACGGAGTGTGAATGCCAATGAGCGTCGCCGGCCAAGCAGAGATTTAATTTCTTCCTGGACGTGCTTTCGAGCTACAAACAGCTCCAGGCTGGGCCCGAGGTCTGCCACCTGCGCCGAGTTCCTCTTTAATCTCTAAAGTCTACTCGCCGCCTGACCTTTACGGGTGTTGATTGGCACAAATCCTATTTCGATGGTGGACAAGCGACAGAGTTTCAGGGCTACGTGAAGATGCGTCACTCACCCATGAGTCAAAGTACAAAGGTGGGCAAAAAATTCTGAAGTTCAAAACAGAGCCATAAAAGTTTAATGTGCAGCTGGCTGGTAGTAACTAGCCAAGAATGAGACCAGATATTTCAGAGCTATATACTGTATATATATTAGTGGTGTCAAAATTAGCGCGTTAACGCAGGCAATAATTTATTTTTTCAGTTGAAAGCATTAAAAATATTTAATGCAATTAACGCAATTTCAGAAAAATGTGCGATAATTTTATTTTATTTTTTTTATCGATTGACAGCACTAATATATATATATATACAGTCATGGTCAGATTTATTGGCACCCTTGGTAAATATGATCAAGGAAGGCTGTGAAAATAAATCTGCATTGTTAATCATTTTGATCTTTTATTTAAAAATAATTAACAAATATCTAACCTTTCATTGAACTACAACAATTGAAAATGGGGGGAAATATCATTATGAAATAAATGTTTTTCTCAATACACGTTGGACACAATTATTGGTACCCCTAGAAATTCTTTTGAGTAAAATATCTGTGAAGTATATTCCCATTCATATTTACACTTTTGAGCATACCAGGGGCCGGTTGCACCAGCTGGACGTACACCCGGTTGTAAGACGAGGCTGGATGTAAAATGCGCTTTAAGTCGTGCGTAGAATTTATACCCGTTGCACCATCTCGGCGTAGTGCTACGTCTGACACTAAATCTTACACCTAGTCAGAGGTAGGTGTAAAGTGAAAAGTCATGATTTGCTCGGACATTATTCGTTTTTAGGATTCATGTCTGTTAGTTAATTATTACTGCAGACGTGAACTGTAATGTTTATGGTCTTTTCGGGCAGGATAAGCGATATCAATCACGAAGCTCTGTGTAGACTATCCTACCACACTGTCGACATTGAATACAAAATATATTTCTGTAAAGCATGTAATAATTATGCCGTAAAATATTACATATGAACTGGGATTATTAAAAGAAACTGAACCATATGTTTTTTCAGCCACAGAAAGACAGCAAAACACAAAATGTCACATAGTCACAATTACCTCAGGAAAGACATTCATTGTACATAAACTTGATAGTCAGCTATAAAAAAATAACTCTAGAGAGAAGCATTGTATTACATTTATTATATTTTACTTAACCTTGATGAAATCTGTCATGGGAGTGTGCAGGGAGACTTCAGATATAAAAATGCGGACTGGTTAGGAAATGTTTACGCAATGAAATCATAGCGCAGTGATTTCACTTATATTATGTCTTGAGCAATTCAGTTCTATATTAGTAGTTGTAGCCATTGCGGCGTGAATGTCGTCTCAGCTATATCTATAACTGAGGGAGAATGTGTCGGCGTGGACGCGCATTGTCTACGCCGGGCGTAGTTGTGCCTGATCGTAGTTTCAGTTGGTGCAACAGGTGTAAATATTTATCGTAAAGCAGGACGTTGCAAAGCCCAGCGTAGGGCTTACACCCAGCGTTTTTACGTCTAGCTGGTGCAACCGGCCCCAGGGTGATTATGAACATGAAATTATCCAGCCATGGCTTCCTGTTTCACAGGAATATAAATAGGAGGGAAAACAAAGGCCAAATTCCCTTAGTCATCCATCACAATGAGAAAAAACAAATAATATATTTCTGAGGTGCAGCAAAAGATAATTCAGCTTCACAAATTAGAAAGTGACTTTAAGAAAAGAGCTAGAGCAGTGAAAATTCCCATTTCCACTATCAGGGCAATAATTAAGAATTTCCAATCAACAGAAAATGTTACAAATCTGCCTGGAAGAGGATGTGTATCTATATTGTCCTAACGCACGGTGAGGAGGAGAGTTTGAGTGGCTAAAGACGTAACTAAAAAATTTGCTTTTTAGCAACAAACACTCAAGATGGGTTTGGTGCACACAGGGATAAAAAGTACCCCATGTGTAGAATGAAATATACTGCTGTTTTTATATGTTGTGGGCCTATATTTCTGCTTGAGGTCCTGGACATCTTGTTTAGATACATGGCATCTTTGGTTCTATCAAATACCAACAGATAAAAAATCAAAAAGTGACTGACTCTGTTAGAAATCTTATAATGGGCCATGTTTGGATCTTCCAACCGGACAATAATCCAAAAACAAACCTTAAAAACAACACAACACAACACAAAAAAAAGCTTCTGCAATGGACATTCCAGTTCCCTGACCTGAACCCTATAGAAAATGAGTGTGGTGAACTGAAGAGGAGAAGTACCATCATGGAGCTGGGAATCTGAAGGGTCTGGAGAGATTCTGGATGAAGGAATTGTCTCTGATTTCTTGGCAGGTGCTCTCTAACCTCATCAGGCATTCTAGGAGAAAACTCAGAGCTGTTATTATGCCAAATGGAGGTTTCAAAAAGCATTGAATAAAAGGGTGCCGTTAATTGTGTCCAATGTGAATTAGAGAAAAACATTTATGTCGTAATGATATTTCCCCCCATTTTAAATTATTATTCTCCAATGAAAGGTTAGATTTGTGATTTTTTTTTAATGAAAGATCAAAATGATTAACAATGCAGAATTATATTTACAGCCTTCTTTGATCATATAAACCAAGGGTGCCAATAATTCTGACCATGAAGGTATATATATATATATAGTGTTGAAACAGGAAGTGAAGTAAACAGAAGAGAAAATAATGATCCACATAACAGAACATAAACCTGACAATAAGATTGTTAGGCTATTGTTAGCCTATATGTATAACAGTTCGTTCTGATCATCGAATCCGACTGGACAAGAGACTTTCTATTGATATTTCCACCTGCGCGCTTTCTAGACGCGCTGTCAGTCAGTGCAGTTACATTGTTGCGCCACAAGGTGGTGGAAAGGGACTGTCTTTGAGGGAGTCTTTAAAGGGGTCATCGGATGCAAAATTCACTTTTCAAGTTGTTTGAACATAAATGTATGTTGGAAGTGTGTGTACACATCCATCCTATAATTATAAAAATCCATCCAGTGTTTTTTTTAAATCCCTATTTTAAAATCCCCTTTCTCAAATCAGGCTGTTCTGAGATTCCTGTCAGAATGACGTAGTTCTGTACAGGCCCCTCCCACAATAGTTGATTGACAGTAGAGTTTCAGCACAGACTGGACTGGTGTCTTACCTTAGCTCCGCCCTGAGTGAGCTGTCATCAGTCCGCCATTGTGTTGACTCTGGTGCAGGGGAAGACAAGATGCCTCCGATTAAGCGATTGAGGTGCTTTATTGTTGGATGTAATAATGAATATAGCAGTCATCATTTACTCCCGACATCTGAGCTACTGAAGACACAGAGGATTAACGTTACTTTCCCTTTGAAGTGAATGCGCCACTCCCGATCAGCCTAAATGCATCTATGTTCGCTCGAATCATTCGTGATCCAGCCTCATCTACAGAAGAAGTGAGTATAAGGGGTTTTTATAAATCTTTGCAAATCACCTTTCCTAATAATGTGCTAATTAGCAAGTTTCACGATGAATGCGGCTAAAGTAAACAGTCTCTCTGAGAGCAGCTCAGAAGAGAGGGGTGGGGCCAGCAGAGCTCATTAACATTTAAAGCAACATGGACTATAATGGCTTGATAAAAACAGAGCTGATTTTGACAGGTTTAAAAAGGTGTTTTTTACACTAACACTGAGAAATTTTAACCAAAGTATGTTATAGACTTTTAATTAAGACCCTAAAAAAATCATATCAACTTGTGCAAAATGAGCATCCGAGGACCCCTTTAAACCGTTCATTCAACTACACATTCAAAAACGCTGATTCATTCAAAGAGAGACAAAATGAAACGCTGTTGAAATCATTTTAACTTTGAGCGCCACTTTAGAAGGCTCAGCTGACAAGCAATGCGTCAATGCTAAGACAGAGATTTAGCTTTTCTTGGACATGACAGCCTATCTTCACAAATATATATGACTCGGCCTGAAGTACAGACACAAATAATCGCACATGCTCAGTTGATCTCTCTCTCATTCGCTGTCTGTTTAGGCTTGTTAAGTTCAAATCTATGGAGCCTCTATACAAATCTGCATGGTACACATTATGTTATCATTGCAAACTTATTTAATATTCAGCATGCACCTTACGCCTGCGGTTTGCTCGTCAGTAGCGATATAGCGATATTGCGGTTATCGCGACAGCCCTAGTAGCAGCCATTCATAATTTACATTATAGTTTCTGCTGAGAGTAAAAGTCTCTCTCTGTTTTTCCAATGTCCCTGTTCCAAGTCATGCACACAAGGCTGTGGTGTCACTTAGTTGTGTATGAGTGAACTGATATGTGTAGGGGCTCTAGAAACACAGACCAAATGAAAGCACGAAGAAAAGTTCCTGAGTTATTTCTCTCTTTTGACTGACAAGTAACAAGAAACCATTCATTTTAATATCTAAAAGAGAAAAAAATCTATG